TGTTGGCTAAAAGCTCATCAAAATAAATATTAGATCTTATTCAAAATCTGTCATATACAGACTGAAACAGCAAGTAGTTACAGAGTGAAGATTCATCTACAATATGGATTTGTGGTAAATTATGGTCAGCATAGTTAGGTATCAGGTTCCAGCTCAGTTGCTTATTAGCTAGCTAACTTTGGGTTTACGTGAGGCAAAGAAAAGGTGGCTAAGGTTTGGCTAACACTAACATTAGCTAGCTAGCTTTAAGCCAACTACTTTAAGAATTTGAGGAAACTTCACTTTGTAGTGAGTGTGTGAGAGTGTGAACGAACAAGCGAAATAATGTTATTGACTTTATTGAGCTCTTGAAATTCTTTGCTTTTATATTTCACCCCTATTTGCCATACATTTTTACAGTAAGTTACTGCCAATGAAAAGGTCATATAGTGTTGATCATAACATCATAATGTGGTTTTATGTCCCTCAAGTCCTCAACCTGCAGATGGATGTTTTTAGTCAAACTAAGAGACAGATCTACTGTGTGCCAGTTTTACCAAATAGCCATTTTCTGGTTCATGATGAACGGACATTTCGATGCCATTAAAATATTGTCCTGGGGGACTGTCCTCCCAGTCCCTCCTAGTACAGACTTAGCCCTCCTATCCATAAATCTCTAGTGACACTCCTGTCCAATCCCATGACAGCCATAATTCCAACTGATTCATACATGTCATCAGTGCCAGGTGAATGAATCATTCAGATTAGTGTGTGGAGTTTGAGCATCTACACACATACACTTCCATCCACACACCCAAGCCATAAATAAATCAGTTCAGTGATGGGATTGAGTAGAAATTTTATCTTCTTTCATATCAGGATCTGAGCGTAAAATATTGTTCACAGATTCTGGATCTGGATCAGTGCAGTTATGACTTTACTAGGAATAAATAACACAATAAATAAATAACTGAACTAATATCTTCTACACTAATATGCTCTTACTTTCATATCAAATACCTTTTCATAGGAACATGTCATTTTTGAACTTTATAATACAAGAGAGATTGCGTGGTACCGCCATTGCTTTTCTAATACCAATACTGAAATGTTGACCATCTGCTGATGCTGATTCGGTATTTGCTTCACTAGAAAAATCACTAGAAAACCAGATTCTCCAGGCAGGATCCCTACAAAACTCTTGCTTACATCATTTTTTCACATTTCATACTGCAAAAACCAAAGAGTTCATTTCTGCTGTATGTGTCACTTCAAATGTAACTCAACCCTGCCCCCATGTGGGCATGCTTGAAGGTGCTATGTTAAAAGAAGGAAATGTGAAGTAATTGATTGAAGATTTTAGACTTTTAAAACTTACATCTTACATTACAGAGTCTTTCAAGTCCCTCCCTGATAGAATGGAGCTACATTGTCCCCCTCTCTCCCCAAATTAGTATACTGGCATCCATTACAGAGAAAAGCATTTATAATTGGCTTCACTGTCCATAACTGCCAGGAACAATGAATGTGACTTCTTTTATCAAATTAAATATCAAAGATCCAATAAAAGTAGGCATTTTCTGGCAATGCTTTTTAAAATGCAAGCGCTGTATGGTGTTAGAAAGCACTAACAAACTCCAAAAAAGGTTCAATATGGCATAATAATGTTCAGCATAGAGCTATATAACATTTTATCCGGTTCAAAAGATCTAGAACTTTCTTTGGCTGTGAGCGCAAATAGCTCCACTGAAAATGGCAATCTTTTTGAAAAGCAGTTTTTAACAACTCTAAATGACATTCAAATGATCAATATTTCATCCCAGCCCTCTTAATGGCCACCTCAGAGAGAGAGAGAGAGAGAGAGAGAGAGAGAGAGAGAGAGAGAGAGAGAGAGAGAGAGAGAGAGAGAGAGAGCAGGGGTAATGGCTCTCACAGTGAAAGTGCAGCAGATGGACCAATAGACTGGGCAAAAGAACAAAGTAGCACTTCTCCTCCAAACAGCCCAATTGGCCTATTCCATAACAGAGTGGAGACCAAAACAGCAGGAAGTAAAGCTGATGTAATATGTGAGGAAAATTATTACATTTTGTTGCAATGGTAAAATATTTTGATGAAAATGTTTCTACTTACAGTTCTCAGCCTTGATTCCTGAATTTGAGACTTCAGAAGATACTGCATCACTTTTGGGGCCAGAAAACTAGGACCCAAGCCTTGGGCCTGATGTTCAACTAACTAATATTTAACAGTTGAACTGTGTCAGTGTGGCCTCAATGTGTAAATCTTGCTTGTCCAAAAGGTGACACTTTATTTTGAGTGGTCCTTTTAGATGAAACAAACCCTGAACAGACTCTCGGTAACATGTCAAAAACATATGAGGGTTAGGATTAGGTTTTGGGTTGAGGTTAAAGTTAGCATTAGGATTAGAGTCAGGGTGAGGGTTAGGACTAGGTGTTTGGTAAGGTTGGGTAAGGTTGGGTTTTGCCTGATGGAAGTAACACATTAACAAAACATCTACTTAATGTAAGTAATATATCAACAGAACATCTACAAGATATTTACTTAAATGTATTCAGATGCTTCAATACTGCTACTTCACCGATATGTTGTTGCTGTGTTACTGATAATCTGTTAAGAGTTTATTAACCATCTACAAAGGACCACTCAAAATGGTGTCTTGGATTCATGAATAGTGAGTCACTTTTGACAAACTACATACAATTCCTGGCAAACATAATAGTATTGAACAATTTAGCTTTCAAAATTCCTACTTTACCTGCTAAAATATCATTGCTGTCCAAAACAAAACGTATCTCCATTTCTGTCAATTTTTATTTTTCTACATTATTTTAAGCCTCCTTTATGTTATGTGAACATTTCATGATGAATGGACCAATAGAAATGCTCTAACATCACTTAAAATGAGATCTCTTTACATTAACTCACATTGAAAGGTAAGAGTGTTTTTGCCCTCTCCTGAAAAGTTACTATTTTGGTAAATACTTTTTCTTTGGACAGTGATGATATACGGAATCATCATGTATAGGGTGCTTTCTATTGGGAGGCGTCTGTCGTAAACCCTAACCCATAAATTTCGACTTGTAAAAATAAAACTTTTTTATGTTTTAATGAAAAATATTGTTATTACATGTGTATTCACCTGTTCAAAGCTATGTTTGTTAGTCATGCACTGGCTAGCATTTTTGAGTTCTGCACCAAATGAGCGAAAAACAAATGGTTAATCCTGAAATCAGTGATCAGTGAAAGTCCTCTTGTTTATAAACCTTTCAGAATGTTTTGGCCATATTTTGGAGCCATAGTCTGTATTTTACAAAATTGTTAATAGCGCATTTAGCTGCTGAAACACTGCTAATTTCACAGAGCTGACATGAGTAAACCTTATCCAAGGTTAGTTAACATGTTGTACTATTAATCTGCTATACTAGCATGTCATGCTAATATTTATGATACATTATTAGGAGTTTTCAATCACAATAGCCTTTTGTCAAAGATCATTATGTCTGAAGGCTGTCCCATTTCATAGGATCCTCCAAGAAATGCATCCTTGTTTTGCGAGAAGTTGAAGAACATAGATAGTATATCTTTCAAAATCTACAGTCTCCAATGATCCAAATACGTTCCATGTGTTGAAGGCTCCTTGAAAGGCTCCTTAAAAGTAAAATTGTACTCACAATTGTCATTTTCTAAATAGTATGAACATTTAGCATGTTTCTTTCTTAACACAGTCTATGCTTTATAACTTTTTCAAACTATTTCTAGTCCCACACTCCTTGGAAAACTGGTGTAGGAGGCCTTGGGCCTGATTTTCAACTAACTAATATTCAAATGTTCAACGCTGTCAGTGAGGAGTCTAAATATGTAATCCTTGCTTGGGTTGTGCTTAGAAATATGTAATTTATAAGGTACCAGGAGATTGTAAACAGCTTTGAGGGAATTAAAGAAGGAGACTGAGAGCAGAGACTGAACACATTTGAAATATGAGCAGTGCAGACATCATTACAGGCCACTGATAGTTACAGTGTTTTAAAAAGCACTCTGAGGGAGTGGCTGCCTCAGGCTGAGCTGCTATCACGGGGGTGGTTTTAGAATCTGAGAAAGAGCCAAACAAGTGGGACGATGATTTCAGAGCCACACAGAGAATGCTAATAGGAGCGGGTGGTGTTTCCATCTGAAACATAACCTCGTTTTGTTTTGCCACAAAAACAAAAAAAAAAGCAAATCAGATTATATGTTGAGTTTGAAAAGCCACACCCCAAGGCTGGTTATGCTTGTCTGTATCTCAATAACACGAGCGAAGGTGTCAATTTGACGGCTTGGCAGATGTCTGAAATTGACTGAGAAAAGCATGAAAGTGAGCAACACTGTCTGTCAGCTCCTGAGGCAGGCCATTGCTGTTTACTCCTGATTGGATTTTTTTAAAAGAAGGCTTATTTGGCTCAATTTTTTTTTGCCTTGGATGGAAAAACAAATCAAAACCTAAATAAACCCTCCTTGAATTTAAAGATCCATGTTGTTTTTGCGTAAAATCAATGCGGTAGACTTCAGGTAAAAACACAAGTATAAACTTTATTTTAACTGTTTATAAATGGGGAAAAAGTCAAGTAAAGATCTTGGTCAAGAGCAAAAAGATACAACAAAGAGAGAGAATATCACAGACAAATAACATAAGAATAAATAAAGAAAACAAACATCTTCAAGCGATTCATTCTAATGGAGGCTTTTTTGGAGAATTTCCTGGGTTTTCCTGAGGTACTTTGGTCTATAAGGATTCGGTCTGAACCTAAAAAGAACAGTCAATGGAAAATCTCCATTCAAGATGTGTTTTTTTAAATCAAACTACAGAATAACTTGTAGCCTAGAGGGGATCTGGCTAATCTATGGTGCCTCCCCTTAATATGCAACCCTCTTACAATGATGGTTCGGTCCATTGGCGGATGCTTAGCCAAAACAACAAGTTGTAGTCTCCTTCAATTCATGGTACCCCTGGTGGTTAGGCTCTGTAAAAAAACAGAGAGGGCTGTTAGGGGTATCAATTCTACCATGGACCAATTTCTTTTAAAGCCTCCTTTAGAATTTGAATACTGAAAAATCTGATGTGATGTTTTTAAAAAGAAGGCTTATAGAAAACAACTGCCTTCACTCATTCGAGCCACCCAACAGTGAAAGTATTACTTCTGCACAAATTATACCAAAAGGCAACTTAAATGACTCGAGGCAATTTGTTTTCATGGCAATCAAAACACAATAAGACAGATGTTGCACTGGCCACTATTGATTGTTACTTGATTTACAACTCAATGTACACAAGTAGATCTAAGTTCACATTGATCAATGTCATGACAACCTAAATAATCTGTTTATCTCCACTTTTGATATACCCGGCCTTTTAAAACTAGGCTAAACCTCGGCTAAACATACCCTGATATCTTGCATTAATAATCTGAGGGAGAGATTACGTGAAAATTTTCTGAACGTCCCATATGATGTACACAAATATGCCCACCAGCAGGACACGCTTGAATATGTAGATGAGAGTAACTGTACCGAGCGTCATGTTCTCCTCCACCAGAGGGCGCTCTTCAGAACAGTTCACCACGTTCCCCCTGGCAGCCCCGAGCACGGTCATGATGTCCACCAGGTTGTGCTTGCCCTCCTCCCTGGCCTCCCTCAGCTCCTCCTCCAGCTCCTCGGCAGCCTCAGCTGCCTCCTCAGCCTGATCTTCCGTCAGCATGCCCTTACCCTTCTGCACCTGAGGGGGCGCCAGAGAGCACAGAGCTCTCAGGCGGCCATAGGAGCGAAGGTGTGCGATGTTAGCCCGTAGAAACAGGAGCAGTACGTTCAGGTCATTGAGCGGGCAGCCCAGCTTCTGGCCGCTTACAAGGCCCAGGGCAGGAAGCACCTCATACAGGGACAGTAAGTTGGTGTCCCAGCAGAAGAGGCGCAGCAGACTGAAGAGGACGACTGGAGCTAGTAACACGTAGATGGCACCGCTAGCCACGCTAATGACCTGGAAGACCATCAGGCTGGTCATCTTACATTGGACCAACTCCGGCACCCACGACTGCTCCCGGAGAAGGCCGGTGCGCACAAAGCAGCTGAACTCGTCCTGAAGGAAGGCCGAAAGGTGGAAGTAGACCAGGTACAGGCAGGCAGTGGACATGAAGGTCAGCAAGAGGAAGCCGCGCAGGAAGAGCATGCTGACCAAGAAGTAGGAGCCATGTTTGCACTGCATGTATCTCTCCAGCAGGGGATAATCAAAGTAACGTTTCCTCTTGGCTCTGGTAACAGCAAATTAAACAATTTCTTTGAAGCAGATGACCACTTTCTTTGGACAAAGAGATTTCAATAACAGTTTCAATAGTAGGCCTAATGAAAATCTTACAGCATATTCATATTGCTTTTATTCCCATCTTACAATAAAGTATCATAAGAAGGAGTGCCTTGGATTCGATAACAATGAGTGTCTTTCATCTCTGATAATCGACATTAAATTTCTGCCAACTTAGCACTCATCATGCAACTATTTAAAAATTCTGTCCAAATTCCTTCTTTCATGTTTGAAAGCTGAAACTGAGAAGAATCATAAGTAATTGTCTCTACTGGCAAATGGAAGACAAATAGAAGACCAAAGCAAAGAATGCCAACCCACTTGGCTTTCTCCCTTACCTCTGCAACTCCATCTGGAAATCCTGCAGGTTCTCTGCTTTTTGTTTGAGATCCAGGATGCTCTGAGCCAAGCGCACGGAGCGGTTGTAGGACTTGTCCAGCTCGTCGATGATGAAGAGCAGGTCTGAGCCCAGGCTTGGCATAGCCAGGAACTTCCAGATCAGAGCTGGCAGGTACATCATCATTGCCATCATGAGCAAGGAGTAGGGGAATATCTAAACAGTGCAAAAAAAAAATCAAAACCCTTCATTAGCTTTGCTTCATTATAATTAAAGACAAAGCTCACTTCAAAGCCATGTTGTTGACATATTTTTAATGCCTAGATGGGACTGTTAATTTCACATTCATTAGATCTCTCTGTCAGGAATAGACTCTAACACGTTTTCGAAAAGCAGCAAATTTCAAAGCTCAGAAGAACAAGTCAATATGTCTAAAGCTTTGTAGCTTTTCTTGTTAGCAATGTTGTGAAGAGACCCCCACCTTGTGCACCCACAGCGAGTGCTCTTCGAAGTTTCCATTTGTGTCAGACTCATGGTGCATCAGCGAGTCCCAGCAGTATGTGTCCACATATGCAGCCTGCTTCACTGTGAAGTTGCTGGGAGGAAAACAGCTAATCTGTGGACCTGAAATGGCAATGAAACAAAGTTGGCTAGTTTTAAACAGCCTTAGTTTAAGTAATCCTGGCCCTAAAGCAATAATTTACTCTGACTGTAGTCGATCTGCCAAGACAAGTTTACTTCTCAGCTTTTGTGCTTGAGCTGTTAGGCTAATGTAGCTAACGAGTAATGGAAACCTAAGCCTTGCTAATTAGCATCATGCAAACAGCATGCATAAATCATCACACACTTGCCTCAAATTGCGTCAAGATGTTAAGTAATCTCAAATAGACTTGGTTATGTGGTTCCTTGCACTGTATGACATGTAGTCATATGCAAACGTCTGGGCGCTCCTAGTCACAGTATGTATTCTGTTGATTTTCTAAGTGAAAAAAGGACATATCCTCTACAGAGAACACACTTTTGCACATTTCAATGGAAAATTACTTATTTAATTATTATTTATATAATTTGAAGTATTAGGGAAATAATGAAACCAAAATTGTGGCATATTTTTAACAGTACATTAAAATTGTGCATTAAAGTTGCATAAAAATGCCATATTTGTTTGGTCCCTTTAGAGGATTGCTAAGTTATTTTCACCTGGAAAATCAACCAACCATATAGTTTGACCATACTTTGTGTAACCCTGTCAGTCTGTAAAATCAACAACAGTTTGTTTGAAGATTGAAATGGTTTTAAAATGGATTTTCAGATGCAGGTTATGTCTAGTCTTGAATTCAAGGTATTTTCCACTGATGATTCCTAATTGGAAATGGATTAAAGAAAACCAGCCCTGAAGGTCAGTCTCCTTTGAAGCTAATTTTAGCTCAAGTTTAATGGCATGGTGCAATTGAAGTACCATGTTTTGTTCTCTAAAGGACCTTTCAATTGAGAGGTTTGAGTTGGGTTTTTTGAAGGACCACTGTAGTGAGAGATCATTTAATGAATCAAAAGTAGTTAGCTCTAAAAAACTCCTTTGGCACTGTTATCCCACCAATTTTTTTACAAATTTGGGAAAATGTAAATAAAATCATGGAGTGATTTGATGTGAAATATGCCGTTCTAGATAACCATGCTGAGTCAGAATTGCTCACAATGGTGGGGATAGTTATGAATATGCTGGATATGTATATGTTTATGACAGTTTTGAGGTAAGATTTTGGGTAAATGTTTTAAACCATAAGACAAAAGACACATATTGGTTCACTGGTCATTTTAAATAGTAAATTAAATGGCTATATTTACATCATACTCATCATGACCTCTGGTTCCTATCACCACCATAGTCAAGAAATCCAAGTTTCTCTACAGTGCACCATTTCAGATCAAGATTGAGAGTGTAGGCATGAGAACTACACCCTACTGTAGGCAACGTATCATCAGTGTATCATTGCTATCATCACTGGCACCTGGTGAAATGGAAAAGGCTGTGTGTGAGAGCAGGGTGGCACAGTTTTCCTAAATTCAGGGTTTATTTCAGGAGTACAGCTGGTAGAAACCACAGCAGCTGCAGCAGCAGGATGAACACCCTGACTGGTGTTTCTACTTTGGAGGAGCAGACCACTGGTCCATGAGGGTGTGACCCCACCACTGAGCACAAGCCAGGCCCCTGCTTTTTATAGACTGCTTAAATATCGGTGTCTCCCTCCAAAACGCACAGTCAACCCCCCAATTTACTTACCGTACAAGACATTCCCCACAGCCGCCCTTTTTAAGGACAAGTGCAGGGCAGAGAACATGTCTCGACAAATTACACGATACATGGAAGACAGTTAAAGCTGGAATAAACATTTCTTGTTTTCTTATTTCACAGTATTTGCCTAAGTGGAGACTGAAGTTTCAAAGATGACCCTATCAAGAAACAGAGCGTTAGCAAAATCAGTTTGTTAGCTGGAAAGGTCAGTATTTTTGCCAACATCTCCTCAATCAGAAAACTGGATAATCCCACCCCTGGATAGCTGTGTTTTGCAAACATTTCCGAACGCGGAACGTGACCAGGAACCAGCCTCTACCAGACTGTACCAGACTCTGCTTGCTCTGCACGTCTGCTGCTTTAATTAGCATATCCTCTGGTTAGACTGAAATAGAGAACTGGGAAAGAGCAGGCTGACTGTAATTACAGACCCTTGTCATCTTTCCACGTCTCTCTTAATCATCCTCATGCCAATTAACATCTGTGTGAGCTGATTGCAGACCAACTCCAGAGGAACTGATTGCAAACTCAAAGTCAGCTGCCTGCCCTGCACAGACAGTTTCCTCTGGCAAGATAATGCTAGCAATGTAGAGGCATTTGCATCTAAATCTCCAGTGGCCTGTCAGCCTGGAGCCTAACAACCTTCCAAAACAAATGACCATTACCACCTTGCAAAAGGTGATTAAATATGTTGATTCATGTTCCAAATAATGTTAAATCAACATTATGACATTAATGGTTGACATTTAATTGCAGAGCAAGCCAAATAAGCCCAATTTCCACCGGCCAAATGAATATCCAGCTAATATCAAAGCCAATATCAAAGGTTTAAAAAGCCTGTGCCGAGCAGTCAGTCACCAGCCCACATTAGTCTAACACCTCCTCGACATCAGCACCAGCTAATTCTATTGTGCTCTTATCTCCAGTATGTCACCCTTTACAGTTTTTCGGACAGGGAGCTAATTAGCTAACTCCAAGGCGCTAACAGTTCTTACATAAAACTTAAAAATAACTTTTAGTAGGCATACATAATTGCATCTACTGAGCTAATGTAGAGTTGGAGTTCATACAACTTTCTTTAAAAGACTTCTGAGCCAGGGAAAGTCCAGTGAGTCCCAAAGGTCAGCAATGCCAGTGCTATTCTGCTTGTAGGTTTGTGAAACAAATTAACAAGTTTGTTTTGTTCACTGTTTCTGTGATTCATACTACTGAAACTTGTTTTTAAGGAAGACTGTTAATCTACACTCTTAAAAAGATTAATTTAAGGGTTATTTAAGGATTCTTTAATGAAGAGAATGGTTCTAATTAGAACCATGAATTCTATAAATACCCATTTCATTCTTAAATGGTTCTTTGCATGCTGAAAATTGCTCTTCAGATTGATAGAGAATGTGTTATATATGATTCAATATAGAATCTTTTGGAAAATGGTTTTATGTAGCACCAAAATGAGTTTGGCATTGTAACAATAGCTGAACCTATTTACCATGCAAAGAACCTTTTAATCATCAAGTGGTTCTATATAACTCATAATTCTGTATAGAACCATTCCCTTTACTAAATAACAATCAAACAACCATCTTTTTTAAGAGTGTAGGATAATCGGTATATGGATATACGAATTGCTGATCCTAGATCAGCGCTCATACATATGGATATTGACAGCAAAAATGCTAACCGATGGAGATTTCTCGTGCAAACGCCAAAGACACCAGCAGCAGTGGAAGTCCCACAGACACAAACTTGATGACTTTGTCTAAGGGCAGCTCCAGTTCCAGGTGGCGGATGCGGTTGTCTCCATTGCTGTCCCGAAGCAAGGCATCAGACAGCACGGCCTGAGCGGCCGCGTTGGCAATGGACATGTCCGAGACTGTTGAGACAAAGATTTACTGATGACACACATGTAATGTTGAATAGAAATCAGCTAAACCAGCAAACCAAGCTACACTCTTAAAGAAAAAGGTGCCAAAAATGGAACGTTTGAGTGATGCCATAGTACAGCCACTATAAAGAACCTGTCTACGAACGGCTCATTAAAGACCAAATGTGCCAATCAGGTGTGTTAGATGGGTGAAGGTTCTTCACCTTTTTCAAAGTGAATGGACCTTCCACATTCTATCCAAATCTTATTTCAGCTAAAGTGTTCGCATAGAAGCGCATGTCTCAGAGAGCCATTTACACGCCTTTATTTTTAAGAGTGTATGTGCACATAAATGTCAAAACATAAAAAAGAAAAAGTAGAAGTGTTAAAAATGTCATTAAAACCCTGGATCATTGCATTAATTACAGTATTGTAGGAAAACACTGACTTGATTCAAGTCCCATGTGCTTTTTTTATAGCTCAATTCTGCTGCACTTTCTCTTTGTTGAGGAAATCATTACTACATTTTGGTTAATTAGAATCCATTGATTGCCAGTTTCTCGCATGGAATTATGGATTAATAACTGAGAGATGTGTGTGAAAAAAAGCAGTACCTTTAGTGCTCCTGATGCAGTGGCTCCAGCAGTGACCTGGTCCTGAGGCTAGGGAAGACAAGGGGGTGCTGGCGAGGACTTTAAATACTAGAGGAGGGCTGAACTAAACAGGAGGCTGGACTGAACAGGGTTACCGGGTAATTAAAGGGGTTATAGGACTCTGGAGAACCCATAGGGCAGGAGCAGCAGCAGAGAGAGAGACAGAACAGGGGAGCAATTAGAGAGAGAGAGAGAGAGAGAGAGAGAGAGAGAGAGAGAGAGAGAGAGAGAGAAAGAGAGAGAAAGAGAGAGCAGTAGAATAGAGTAGGGAAGGGCTACAGGGCAGTACATCCCTAAAATGCGTATGGGGCTGGTGGCGCCCTTCCACTTCAAACACGCCTGGCTTTTGTGGCTTTTTCTGCTCCTGTCATTGCCCTCACTATTTATATAACGCAGCCCAGAGCAGACCTACCACTTCACTGTTTCACCATGAGAAATCTGGAGAACTGCCACAAGTCCAGTTATTTCAGTGCTGCTCTCAGAGCTTTTTGGAAATTCAGTTACTCAAGAGTCCTGTTTAAATGCACAACAGCCAACATGGCTGCAAGTTGCACGGAAAATAGTGGCCTTCATGTTACAATGATCCTTATTTCCTGGATAAAAATGGCGACTGTACATGCTATTATGTTTCAAAATTATGAAATGGCTGGAGGTCTTTAAGGACAGCATTGTTTTTGGTTTGTCTCCATGAGCAGATAAGAAGTAAGGCTAGAGCAAACTGACCAAACACCAACAAAAACAAACCAACACACACATTTAGGTGGTGTGCCATATCTATATGACTGTTGTCAGAAGAAAAACTTGTATGTCCAAAATGATAACTTTACAGGACTTTACACTTTATTTTTAATGTAAGTCAATGGAACCAGACTTTTTCCTAGTCATGTTGGGTCGTTTCTTTTAGTCCATTCATCATGAAATTTACACACAATGTAAAGGGCAGCAGGTATTTTCAAATTATGTCAAAAACTGAAAAATGTCAAAAATGGAGATACAAGGTTTTCTTCCGACAACAGTGATATGTGGCTGTTGGGTGAGTCTAGTTCACTTGACTCATTTGACTTGGTATTCTAAATGAAGGTCAGTGTTTGTTGCAGAACGTTTGGTCAGTGTGCTCCAGCCTCAACAGCCTCTCCTCATTGAAACACAACTAAAATAATCCTGTATTTAAAGAACTATCGCCAGTTCATAGTTTTGCTCTGTAGTTTTACTCGCCAAATCATTGTTTTGCTCTCATAGCTCTACACTCTTAAAAACACTTGAATTTGTATAGAATCTTTACACTATGTGGTAATTCTGTAACCTTCAAAAGTTTCTTTGGGTTCCTAAATGCTTCAGTGTTTCAATAAGTTTCTTCTCATGCACACATGATTGGCTAATTTTGTTCTTTAAAGACCAAAATATAATTTAAACGATAATCAAAAGTGGTTTAATGGCATCACCCCAAAGAACCTGCATCTTTATTTTTAAGAGTAGCTTCTTTAAAGAAGAGTCCATTATAGATCATTTAGAGAACCAAAAGTTCTTTTATTGCTCCAAATAACTCATTTTGTATCGTTAATTTTGAAGAATGTAGAGCGAGGAGCACATCTAACATCTAAGACACCAGTAGGACCTGGAGCCAGTATTGAATGTGATGAAGTACACTGAAAAAAATATGCATTAGATTTACTTGGTCTAAATGTGTACATTATATATACATGAGAGATGGATGTAAAATGTTTTAGTGGAAATGGTGGATAATTTAATTCAAGTAAGTTGAGCGCATCACTTTTTTCAGTAGACCCAGCTCGACAAAATAAGAATTAACCACATACCGAGAAATACGAAGATCACATGCCCTGAAATACAGGCCACATGTGCCATGAGCAGTCTGTAATCTCTGATTATTTAAGGGGGAAACCTGGGCCAAAGCGATACTCTGATTTTAGAGAACTGTAATCATCATACTGCAAAGTGCCACCACCACCCTCCCACCACCCAGCTCCTCCTAAAACGACCCAGTAAACATGCACATGCTTCGCTCTTAGAAGACAAGAAACCGAATGCCTGTCCTGTGTTGGAAGACAAGATGTTTCAGTGCACTACACTGTTAGAAATAAAGGTTCTGTGCAGGTACATTTTTCATTCATCAAGATACAAACAATGTAAATGTTCCCTCAAAGGTACAGCAGTGGTTTTAAGGTCCAGTTGTGCACCTTAAATATGTTTTTCCCAGGTTAAAAGTACATTTTTGTATCTTTTCATAACCGAATGTTTTAAAACAGAACAATAAAAAAAAGCCCGGAGACAAGACGAGGTGTGTGGAGTCAATACAGCTTAGATAATATAATTTCAGTGGATTATGATACAGTTATGTTCCCTGACTAAAGTCACTGAGAAGTACCCCTGAGGGTGCCACCTCAGTGATAAGAGCGGAACTGCACCAGTGACAGTTTAGAAACTTTCAGGCTCTTTAAAGTAGCTTTACTGTACTTTTCAAAGTTCCCATAATTTACAGCATTTAGTACATTAGTAAACATTAACAAACCAGGAACTTGACATTAACCAGGATAATAATAATCCTGTGAAGTAATGCTGACAAACTAATTAAGACCCACATTGACGTATGTGTTTTTTCATCCATTACCAAAAAAAAGGGTGACAATTTGTTTGGGTGGTCCGCTTTAGATGCTTATTGATGCTGGTCTTTTAACTAAATATCTGTTAAACTTTGCGTTTCCAAAACCCAAACCTGTCATTCTAACCCTAATCTTTACCTCATACCACAACCTAAATCCAACCATAAACCATAATCAAGGTCCTAATCCTAACCCTCACCCTAATACTGTTGATAATCATATTATTTACACAATACAGTGTGTAAATGTTTTGATAAGTGTTTGTAGAAAACATATAGAAGACAAATATATTCATTATCAATGCTTCAGTTAGTGCCAGCAAACGCAGGTCTTCATTTAGTTCGAATTTAAACAGACATTAATACAGATCCTAATTACTTTGTTAACATCAGTAATGTTTATTGATGCTGAGATTCATGGTTTGTTACTGTCAAACAATGCCTGATAGTTAAGGGAGCTTTAATGTAAAGTGTGACCAGAGTAGATTTGATGTAGACAGAGTTCTTTAAAGTGCATTTGACGTAAGTGCTGTTCTGAGAGGTTTTCATTGCATCGAGTGAATAGCTCACCACCCACACACACACCACTCACCCCACACACTCTAATCTATGCTTTCAGTGTAATTTTTGACATATGATAATGTTGGCACACTGATATCTTGACTTACTCTCTAAAAAGGCAGCACAGTTCTAAAAATGTTCATAGAAAACAACAAAGCAGAGGATGGAGTTCACCTATAATCCTTAACCTGGCAGGTATTCTGTGTATCTTCGCTGCTAAAAATAGTAAAAATATATTACTCCAAAATAGAATCTTTACAGGAGAGGGAAAAAAAACTTAACTTATAATGTAAGATAATGCTTAGTTTTATGCTAAGCAATTTTGGAGCATTTCTATTGGTTCATTCATAACGAATTTTTACACAATGTAAAATACAACCACTGTGTTCAAATCATGTCAAAAAATAAAAATCAACAAAGACGGAGATACACGTTTTAGACAGTGATGATATGCTGCATTAGTAATGCAGCTCCTTCAAATAGGTCAGTTTAACTTGTATTTGACTGGGTGTTGTTCAAAGCCTTATGACTGAAGACTGTCATTTTGTAAGGCTTTGTTTTTGTCTTTTAATAAAAACTACATGACGCAACAATTGCAAATTGCAACTGATGCCAATGGGGGAAAAAAATAAAAACACAAACCAACCACCTATAGTTTCATCTTTATATCTGTAGTCTGTAGTTTTATCTCTCATGCCCTTCCAAGAGCTTTGTAGTTGCCTGGTAAAATGTGGATTAAGATTAATTAGAAATAAAATACAAATGCAATGTGTATAAAAACTATTTTTACCATCATTATTACATCATCATAAAAACCTCATTTCTCTGAAATGCTAACTGTATGGAGAAAAAACTGAAAAAAATGTTCAAAAGTTCTGCATAATTCAGTGATGAGATGTAAACAGTCATTCACAGTGCTTTGATGTGAAATGGTTCGTTGTAAAGAAATGTACTAAACTAATTTTATTTACCATCCAAAACCACCAGTGAGTCTAGAGTTAGGTTTTTTTTCTGGACTGTTTTTCATGTGTCTTTCTGTTATGAAAGGTTTGGAAAAATATGTTTAAGATCAAAACTTTATCTCAAAATTAATGTAAAGCAATGTCTCAGACATCAGACAAAGTCTTTGGTCTTTATTTCACCCTGCATGTACCTCTGCACTGTGAATGGATCTTAAAAAGGCCAAAATCTTATCTCAAAACAATGAATCGTGAATCAGACAGTGTATTCTTACCTATTTTATGTATTAACTTCTTGTGAAGAATCTTTTAGTGTCATTAAACTTTCCAGACATCTGGTTCCTATTATCCCCACTGTTGACAATTGAGACCCAGTAAGTTTCTTTTTGGAATAGATCTCACATCAAATCACGTCACTAAATGACGCTACTTATATCTAAACAATAAAAAAAGAGAAAAATCTGTGCAATTACAGTTTAATATTTGTTAATATATCAAAATTATATTCCAAGTAATTGAGGTGTTTACGACCCTGTTTGTTTTGTTGATTTTCTAACTGAAAATAACACACCCTCTACAGAGAACACACTTTTATTCTTCTCCCCAGTGCGTTAAATTCAGCACATAAACAGTATTGTGTATTAGAATGTGCAGAAGTGTGTTCTCTGTAGAGAGTGTGTTCACTTATTTTCACTTCAACAAATCAACAAAACATATAATTTGATCAAGAGTGGCCAAACTTTTGCGTACAGCTGTATCTATTGGTCCATTCATCATGGCATGTTAATACAACCAAAAAAAAAGGTTGGCTAGTGTTTTTAATTGGAGTTATGATGTATCAATATTGATGATATGCTACTTTGAAATATATAAGGTAGTTTCTTAAACGAAAGTAAGATTACTTTTAGAGAATGTGAAAAGTTGTGCAAACAAGTGTTGGACAAATGTTTTAGTGAGTTTCCAGACGATATAAGTCAACTGTTGTAACTCTCAGTTCATATCATGACACAAATCCCCATGTTTTTAATGTCGACAAAACTGATTGTTTTTTTTTAACTTGTTTGTTTTTGTCGCTGGTCATTTAAAAGATAAAATGTTTGTTTTTCCACCATTTTCCGCTTTTACCCTCCTCTAAGTTTTGATTACATCACCACACACCAGATGGTGGGGAATATATTATTGACCAATAATATGATCATCATTAAAGCTAGAGCAGGTGAGTTTGTAGAAAACAGGAAGTGTAAGTTAGTTTTTGAAACAATCCAACAACAAAAAATCCCATCCACTACTTTCAGCCCTCCTTCCAAAGCCACTCCTCTAAAACACATGAACATACTTGGCTTATGAACATATACACACACAGATCCCAGACAAGATGAACACAGCTAGCTTACATAGCCAGCTTAGCTAACATTAGCGTTGTACTAAGACATAATGTAGCTACAGAAGCAGCTGGCTATGTTGACTACATAATTCAGGAAAATAACAAATTCCCCCATGAACAAAACAGACCAGATAATTACCTGTCCAACAGAAAAACAGCAACCTTGACATCACTTTCCAGGCCTTTCAAGCCCTTCAGGTTGTACCACCATTAGACCGATGTTCACTGTGGTTTGACCTCTTACTTTATCTAACCTCTCGTTGTTCCAAGTTATTTCTACTTCTGTCTTTCTTTTCTTTCTTTCTTTAGCAGTTCAAGCTGTAGTAGGTACATGTGTAACTTTCTCTGCAAGTAGGCCATCTAATTGTTTAATTTGGGTTGGATGAAATGACTGGACTGGGTTTTTACACTCCTGTATCCTCCACAGGTAACGATTTTTTTTCCTTTTTTATTGTCAGGGCATTTGATTGGTTGATTTCTATCAGGATGTAAAGAGTATTTCAAGTAATAAAACAAAATATGTTTCTAAAATAACTCCACCTTTAGCCAATAATATCATCATTTCACCAGCCCATCACCACCACCTATCATCAAGCATATATACATATACTCATCTATTTAAGAGACCACCCCTAAAAGTGTCTTGCCCTCAGAAATACTTTTAAAGGCAAGAGTTTAAAATGCATTTTCAAAAAATTACCTTTTTATCATGTTAGTTTGTGTGGATGGTCACATTAAGCATGATTCATCATGTCATATTATTATTATTATTATTATTATTATTATTATATTATAATCATATTAATATTATTATTAATTTTCTCTTATAAAAGACAAAATTCTCACTATCCAGTAATCTTTGATCAAACTGCAGGGACTTTTTTGCCATCTTGAAAAAGTCTTCTGAGTTTTGATTACATCACCATGCTTTCCAGCAGGTGAGGAAAAATAATGTTAACCAATAATACCATGTGTTACCTCCCTCTCAGCCAGCCCAGAGACCCTGTCTACCATGTTTCACTGGTCAGTATTTCAAGGTACAGAAGGAAGATGAATTTACGTTGACTTCAAGAAAATCCAAAATGTTTTTAGGGGCCTGTACTAGAGCAGTGAGCAGTGAGCAGTGTGTTATGTAGAATAAGAGGAGTTGTAAGAAGTTAGACATTCAGCATCCACTAAAATCATCTCTTTTAATTATCAAAAATGGTCTATTGAAACACAATAGATTATGACAACGATGTGTACAAACAAAATAAAAAGCTCCCCTATCACCACTTGCTCTGGAAGATCCATTTAAAAAACAAAAAGACCAAGAAAAAGGATAATGAGAAACATATACTTCACAAAGACCAACTCCAATAACATCCAAGAACAGCTTCGTTCAGCTCTAGACATCACATCAGAAACAGGTGCTTTAGTTTTGGAGACTGATTAAGCACAAAAAAAAGCTCGGGAATATCTTCACAGCTTCTGTCCCTTCACAGAGAGTAGACAGAGGGGGTTCCAGCAGCTGAAACGTTCTGTAAAGACGCTCATGTTCATTCACTTAAAAGCAAGCAGTGCATTGGTGCTGCCTGATTCAAACGTGTGTATCGGCTGCACGTGAGAAGAAAATAAAAATACATCACAGCACCACAGTTATTTCCAAAAGAAGGTAAACCGAAAGACTGCAGTGGTGTTGATGTATTTTATTCCTGTGCTACTGCTGTCCACCTCTGAATCAGGCAGACTCAATGCACTGTGTTTTTCATTGTTCCTGCAGTAAACATCTTGAGGAAGTCTGTGGTCTGGAAGGAGCCACCGTTTTATTTTCTTCCGTGAATGAGATGCTTCGTGTGCCAGGTTGGCTCCTCCCACATTTTCCTTTTATTTATTTATTTGTTTGTTTGTTTGTTTTTCTTGTCATGAGCAGGAGAAAAGTGAGCCCGCTGAAAGTCTGAGGCAGGCGGCCTTCGGAGTCATTCAGGATTGCATCATCTGAGAGTTCCAGGCAAATAAGAGTCTTCTAAGAAGTAGCGCAGTTGAAAACCTAAAAACATAAATATCAAGCAACTGGGGGGATGCATCATAGTCTAAGGGGTAAACTTTGTGCTGTCTGGTCTGTTTTGAATAAGTTTGTTTGCTCTGAAAATGCATGCCCAAAAAACAAACAAACAAAAAAAAAAAACCAGTCATCTTGGAAGGTTTTGTAAAAATGATCTCATGCTGTGTGGGTTTCACCTGAGAACCAATAGAACCAAGACCAAGAAGAACCATTTGGGGACAGAAAACAAGGCATGAACGCATGAGAACGTATCAGGATGGACGGTAGACGGCGGGTTTTGTTAATATAACTGAAGCTTCTCTTTAATCTCCCAAGGCCCGACAGTTTAAAGTTTTGCATGTTTAATTTGAGCGCATTCATCAGCTCTGTAAAATTACGGAGTAATTACAGCACCGTAAAAAAGATTTACTGTTAAAACAGTGAGAAACTTGGCTGCCTTCAAATGCAGAGTTCATTGAACATCAAGCCATAAGTGTACACAACAATCTCTTATTAACTCATTATTTATGATATTAACTAATTATTTAGAATAATTATTATTTATTATTCTATTGAATTATTATTTGTCTCATACATTCTACATTTTGAGGCAGCCTGGTTAACTTACTTGGTAACAATTTATAAAAGGGCAGCATTCATAATACTTTATGACATATACATAGGCCTTTCATAACCATAACATCTATTATGTATATAGTCATCTGTTAATATTTTAGCTTAAATTGTACCTTGTGTTGATTTTTAAGTGAACTTATCCTCTACAAAGAACACAGTTCTTCATATTTTAATCCATAATTACTGTTTATTTGCTAAATTTACATGTTGGGAAAAAATAATCGTAAAATGGCTTGTGCAAAAGTTTTGGCTCACTTTATATTTTATATTTACTTTTTCTCCAATATGTTGAACTTAGACGTTTTTTTTAGAATTTATACACTACAATTGGCAGGAAAATGCCATTTTTTGCTTCTTCCCTGTAAATGATGCGTTATCTAGAAAGTCAGCAAAACATGATGACCAGCTGTGTTCAAACATTAGCACACAACAGTACATTAACCTTTATAAAGGCTTATTCCAACACGCATCAGTTTCTGAGGTGAAAAGATGTACAAAATGGACAAAAGTAGCTTCTGACTGATGCCTGCTAGAAAAAGCCTTTATCAGAGTTTATGTAGGTGTATGTCAGTTGTCATGAAAGGCTTATGTAGGTGTCATGTAGCCTTATAAATGCTGCCCTCCAGTAAAGTGTTACCATTTTAACACCAAATCATGTTTACAGTGTGGAATTCACAGCCCATTTCTTTTTATGGGAACCTCCCTGTCCAACTGGATATTCCAAAGCACTTGAGTGTCCAGTGGAAACCTCTGGGGGCATCGTTTAAATAATGTGCCATGACTGTGTGTCAGGGCACTGATGTCATTTCCTGTGTGTTACTCCAGCGCCTCGCTGTGATCGAGGCGCATATCTCTTCTGCCAGACAGCTGCCTCCCTCCCTCGCTTTCTTCCTCCTCGTCTTCCTCTTCCTCCTCCTCCATCCCTTCTTCCTCCTCTTCCTCTTCTTCCTCATCGTCTTCCGTGCCGTCCATGGAGTCGTCGGCCCCGGCCAGCATGGCCTGCTGCATGGCCAGGGTGGCCGAGTCGGAGGAGAGCGGCTGCAGGCTGTCCATGCCCAAAGAGCCTAACAGAGACACAAACATGCTTTACTACATGATGGATAGAAATCTTAGGTGTGGAACTGTATGGAAGAACATGCCATCAGAAACTTAATCATCAGCTTATTTACTATCATTTTATTCACAGATTCTGTTTATCTTATTATAGGTGCTACCATATCGTCACTGTCAAAAAAAAACAAAAAAAAAACAAAAAAAAAACTTCCATTTTTTATTTTTTGACATCATTTAAACATGATGGCCAGTAGACCAACAGAAATACTCCAAATTACTTGAATTGAAAGTTCTTCACATTAATTTCCATTAAAAGTTAAGAATATTTTGCCTTCTCTTGTAAAATTACTATTTTTTTCAAGGACAGCAACGTTATGTTTCTCATCCCACCCACCCTTGTACTTTTTGTTCTGATGGTAGATTTGATATATTTTCACACACTTACTGGGAGTTCTTTTGGACTAGAGTTTTTTAAAATATTTTCAGACATTTACAGCAAAACTGTTCCAAATAGAGCCCATCCTTGCTCCTAAATAAACTCTGAATATAATTTAAATTGTGCTAAAATTGTGCTATACTGAGGGGTGCTGTGAGGGTGGGGGGTGCTGTGAGGGTGGGGGAGTGGTCTGGTTGCTGCATTCTGTAACATGTACTCTGCTTATTGTATTTAATATTAATACATTGGAGCTTTTCACAAAAAAAGCACTGTAAAAGTGTGCATGCCTACACTTTACCTATTCATTGTTATGCACATACTATATAGAACTGTATATTTAGTAGAGTTGTGTGCAAAAATCAAAAAAAAAAAACCCTCAAACACTTTAATGATAAAATTTCAACTCTATCAATATTTAATTTGTCCACTCTTCACTTTTGTGTACTCTGCTGCCCTTTAACTTATCCATGCTTCGAGTCTTAAAACGAACCAGTAGCAGCTGACATTCTGTTCCCCTTCAAACAGACATGAACATTCACACAAGCAACTACACAAACACACCTCAGCTGCCTTGCAGATGCCTTTCTCCTGTGCATTTAAAAGACTATATTTCTGAGATTAGAATTCACTTGCATAAAGAAGTGAAAAATTGAAGGGAAAAAAAAGTCACAAAATAGGAGTTTAACAGGAGTTCAAAATATAGAGAAGATGAGTCTCCTAACAACCGTGCATGACCTGATAGACCAGCAAAACTGTCACCGTCAGAAAAAAAACACCAAAACTGTCACCATTAGAAAAAACACCAAAACTGTCACCATCAGAAAAAATACTTTCACCTTTAAAAATTAGGAGAAAATCAAGCAATCAATTTTGCTTCAGATACGAAAAAAATCTGCAGGTGTTTCCACTGTGAGAAGACAACTCAGTGCTAGGGGTCTGAAAGGATGTGTACCTGTCAAGAAGCCGTTATTGAGAAAAGGAAATAGACGAAAAAAAGAAAGTTTGCAAATTTTCAAGAAACACTAGCCACGTCTACATGCAGCCTAATAATTCGACTAATAGCTCAATCGGAATAGAATACGTCCATGTATACACCTCAGTCGGAATAGACTAGCCCGATTGAGGCCATTCGGAATACAGTTTCTATCTGATTGAACAATTGATCCATAATCCTGTAAATAATCTTTCAAACAGAAGAATAATATCCATGTAAGCGCCTGTATCTGATTACATTCCCAATAAAAAAGTTTAAGTACGTTCTGTGCATGTGGGTCATAGTGAAAGTTTATAATGTTCAACATGGCAGAGCAGAAACTGGTCTGCAGAGGAGGTGGTGGGACGGGCGTCCAGCTTATGTGTCTCAGAACACGACGTCTTCCTCTCGGCCTTCTTTAATAAGTACATGTGAAGTACGTTTTCCTGAGTCTGACATCATTTTAAAGTAATTAAAAACACAAGTGCACAAACTGAAAACTCGTCTCACACTGACTGGACCTCCCATGATGTTCGTTGTCATAGTAACGTTTACACTAAGTGGTTCATGGTGCATGAGCGTCATTTTGGATCTGATTACTGGTAGTGAGCATGTAAACAGAGATTTTCCATCAGATTGTTGAGTAGAGTGAGCATATAAATACCTCAGTCTTAATCTATAATCGGAATGTATTCAATCGGAGTGGCAAATCTTTGCATGTAAATACAGACACTAAAACTAGGCATCTGAGATGTGGAGTAAGATTTTATAGACTTACGAGCCAAAATTTGCAGTTGGAATTACTTGGATTGTGAGAAGCAGAAAATGCAACCAACTTCTAAGACTGAGCTTTGGAGGTGTGGAAAAACATCCCTGCAGATTTCTTTAAAAAGCTGAAAGCAAGCCTCATGAAAAGGATGGAAGCAATAATAGCACTAGTTGCTTGATGTTGTTACTGTGTTAACATTACAAAAGTGGACTTCATTATAACTGTTTCCTCACTGGTTATTAAACTTGGTCCATTAAATAAATGTACACTTGCTTTGTTTTCTCAGATTGAGTCTGTGATCTTTACAAACATTGAACTGCATCTGCGTTAGGTTTGGGCTTTAATTAAGATTTAATTTGCTGTTATTAAGTGCAGTGTTGGAATGACTGACTGTCTGAGTTGTTGGCGGAGTGCGGGCCGTGCGTCTGCAGCACTCCAGCCACGATGGAGTCTGGCCAGAAGCGCTGCGTGGGTCTGTGCTGCGACTTCATCTTCTTGGCTTTTGGGGCAGGGTCAGGGTTACTGGCGTCGAGCATGGGCTGCAGAATACGCCTGCGGGCATTGATAAACCTGTCAAAGGAAACAAAACAGAGGGAGACACAAAAAGAGAATGAGAAACAGTCCTGTTCTGGCCATCGCATTGACAAGTACTTCATGTTAATGAGCACTAGATGGAGCCACTTTGCTATACATTGCAGTGGATGAACCCACACCCCTACTACATAGCACAACAGCACGTCAGAGCTGGTTCTACTCTCAGTCTTACCAGTTGTTCACTTGCAATAAGGTGAGGTTAGTTTGTGCAGCGATCTGTCTTTTCTCATCTTCTGTGGGGTACGGGTGCTGGAAACAAAAACAAAAAGAAATTTATAATTGTCATATGATCTGTATAAAGTAATAGAGAAGCGTTTACTATAATGTAATGGCTACATAATGTAAATATACTGGCATATCATTACTGACATATTAAAACCTTGTAACTCCATTCTATTTCTTGAACCATTAAAATATACCAGCTGTTGCTGAGATTGTGTGAAGGATTTGTGATGAATGGACCAACAGAAGTAATCTGTTAATGTTAATGTAATAGGCTTTGTTAGTACAGCATCGATATCAGTGAACAGGTACAGACATTAAATCCTTTAAGACTCTTTTAACTACAGCTGTATGACCTATTCCAGCTCCATGAACAGATCAGGGCTCTATCAATCTAATCAGCCCAGTTCTACGTCCAAAGGAAATGGCTAATCTGCCATTAATCATGTAACACTCAATGTGATTAATTCATCATGTTATATTCACTGATCGCACTGAAGAATTTTCAGGAGAGAGATGAAAGAATGGAGCACGTCCTCCATCCCTCGCCCTTACCATGAGGTGCTGGAAGAGCCAGGAGCGCATGATGTTGGTGGCATGTTTGGGGAGAACGCCTCGCTTGTTCTTCGACTTCTTGTCATCGCTGTCCAAGAGGGAGGAGAGATCCAGATTCACCTTAAATTACAGACAAGAGAGAGAGAATGAGAGAGGGTGAAAGAGAGAGGCAAGAAAGGGGTACAGAAAGAAAAATACAGAAAGAGATGAGATAGGGCAAGAAAAAGTTGGAGCAATAGAGAGGGAAAAAAGGAGTGGAGGAAGGAGAGAGAGGCAAGAAAGAGGAGAAGAAAGTCAAGGAGAGTGGAAGAACGGGAGATTGAGAAGTAGAGAAAGAAGGAGTGGAAAAGAGATATAAAAAGAGAAAGAAGAAGGAGTGAAAAAGAGAGAGGGGCAGAGAAGTGGGAAAAAGGGAGAGAGAGAGAGAGAAGGAATAGAAGGAGAGGAGAAAGAGAATTGAAAGAGAGGGAGTTGAAAAAGAGCGTAGAGAGAGAGGAAAGGAGAGTGAGAGAGAAAAAAGAGAAGAAAGAGGGAGAGACCAAGGAAGACAAGAAATAGAGAAAGGGAAAAGAAAACTGGACAGAGAGGGAGAGAGAGAGAGAGAGAGAGAGAGAGAGAGAGAGAGAGAGAGAGGAAAGAAAGAGAGGAAAGGGGTGTACAAAGGCAGAAAGAAAAAAGAAAGAGACAGAGGGAGAGAGAGGGAGAGAGAGAGACGAAGACAGTATTAGAGAGAGAGAGAGAGAAAGAAGAAAGAGATATACAGAGAGAGAGAGACAGATAGAGAAAAAGAAATAGTCAAAAAGGAGGGAGAGAGATAGAGAGAGAGAAGAAAGAAATGTAGAGAGAGAGAGATAAAGAGACAGTTTTCAAGAGAAAAGGAGGGAGAGAGAGCGGAAAAGTGCAGAGAAAGAGAGAAGAAAGAGGTAGAAAGAGAGAGAAAGAGAGATGAGACAGTATTAAAGAGAGAGAGACAGTAGAAGTGGAAGAGAGAGAGAGAGGGAGAGAGAGAGAGGAAGGGACAGTGAGAAAGAGAAAATAAAGGAGCGGAAGAAAGATGGAGAGTGATAGAAAGAGAGAAAAAGTGAGAGAGAGGGGGAAGAAGGAAGGGGAGAGGGAGTCACAGAAAGAAAAAGAAAGAGAGAGAGGGAGGGATAGTTGTTGCCACGGAAACAAAGAGTCGCCACTTGCCGTTCCTTTGCCAGGGCCAGAAATGCCCTCAGTCACCATAGCAACGCAATCGGAGTAATGATACCTAAAATTAAAGCCGGGGAGGGAGCGTTTATAGAGGCCTTTCATCACAAAGAGCGCCACAGCAAATCTGCTCTCCTTTTAATCAAACTTACTCAGCCTCCACTGCAACAAGACCCAAATCTAGATACCGAGCTGCACACAGACAGGAAACACACACACTCACACACACACTCACACGGGAAACAGCAGAAAGTCTGTGCAATAATGTTGCTGTTTGAAGGTTTTCCACTCACCCATTTAACTACAAAGGCCAAAGTATTCAAATGAGTTAAATATTATTATGCAATTTTTGCCCCAGAAAAAAAGTCCTCAGTCATTTGGAGATTGCGAAATATTAACATTTCAGAGCGGCTTCAGATGCATAATCCAGCATGGCCTCGCGTGCTGATAAATAAATGAATAAAAATAAATTAAAAAACATTTCCACTTTAAAAATGAGGATAATTAATTTCATGCCGCTGCCGCAACCGAAAGTCATAAAAAGCGAAAAGCCTCCCTACTGACTTTTGAAATAAATAAATAATAATCAAGATCGGTAAAAAAAGAGAAAAAAATCTCCACATTATATTTGCAGCTGAGTGTCACGTGGCTGTGTTCCATCCCCCACCATACCCCACACACACACACACTCACACACACATATATACACACATACCTCAGCCCTGGGAGTGTGTAAGTGTGTGTTCCAGGAAGCAGGGTGAATTAATTGGAGGCTCCATGCAGGGGTATCATTACTGGGAGCTTGTCAGGGATGTAGTTATGGGCTCAGCTCTATTCCCAGCCTGCGTGTAGAGCAGAGTGTGGGCCTGGGCCCTAGGTAACTCACCCCAGCTCCGGCTGTCTGTCAAAACCTGCCTCACCTGCCTGCTACTGCTCCGTACAAACACACGCATGCAACATGCATACAACTGGCTACTCTGGAACCAACGCCAAACAAGCTCGAGGATGCTCAGCCAGTTCTAGCAAAAAATCAGCAGCGCAGCTTTACTATTCATCTATCTATGCTCCGCCCACTTGGCCAACCTGGCAACTATCAAGGTTGTCAAGAACAAGCTTCATAGAACATGCAGGTTTTGCCCAAAAATCTACATTTAGAATGCTGTATTTTACTTTGTACACGTGCGAAAGGTCTAAAATTGTTATTTTTATGTGTAATCTATTGTATATTATCAGGATACTTGAGCCATGATACAATTCTAAAGATTTTTGATATGCTAAGTTTTGCACTTTATTGTTTTGACTGCATGTTATTCCTCCAATATAGAACTAGCATGTTACAGAGCTGTAATAAGTAGGTAATAACATAGTAATATTGTTGTAACAATATTACTATGTTAATGGTAACAAGTTGTACTTACATAATAATTACATTAAAATTTTCTAGTTGTTGCTAAATAGTACGTTAGTAATTTTAGTGGTAAAAGAGCAGTAACAAAATGGTCAAACAATGGTAACAAGTTGTACTAAACTAAATATTACTATCTAATTGTCTAATTGTTTCTAAATAATAAGGTAGCAATTGCTAAGTTGGTTATAAAATGGTAAAATAATATTAATAAATTGTTCTAACCTAAAATTACATTCTAATTTTGTAGTTGTTACTAAATAATAAGTTAAGATAAAGAAACACAAACATGATGTGTAAAAATAAGTGGTATGCTGTGAGTTTCTTCCATCACTGAACTCATTTCTGAGCCTTTTGCCGGATCTGTGTTTAACAATAGAGAATTAATATTTTGTTAACTGTAACTACAAAAGGAACATGTGATGTTGTATTTTCCAGCCCTGATTCTGTGAAATATCAGTATATTTACCTCATCTGTTCCTGGCTAACAACACTAGTATATTGGTCAGCCTACACACAAAAGTAATAGAACAACCAAACAACCATGAGTGATTATAATGCATTAATGTCATCAAACTTTCGGTGCAATTACCCACATTATTTGCAAGAACCAATGTTACCACCTGATGTGAGATGCAGTGACTGAGAAGATGGAAAGAAGTAAGTTCGCATTTTACAGCTCCATTTAGTTTCTCTATAATTACAGCCTGTAACTATGTCTGTACATCATACTGTGACTGACCACTTAAAGTCATAATATGTAAGACACAAAGTAGAAACAAAGTGATTTAGTATTTTACAGCACTAATAACACATGGCTTTAGCAGAACCACTTCACTGTTTTTGGAGTAACAACCCTTATATTATAAGCCCCTAAAAGGATGTAAAAAAAACTGATGGGGTGATTTGTTGATTAGGCAGAGATGATGCTATAAGAGATTCACTATTTTTTCCTATAAATGTATATATAAAAAAAGAATTTTATTTAGAGGTAACTACAGTTTGTTCTCCCACTTTTATCCACTGTTGTGTGTTATCCACTGCACTATCAGAGCATTCCTAATAATAACCCTACTAATAGACACCTTGTTCTTATTAGAAGGAAACAGCACCACCTTGTGGATTGTGACAGAAATGCAGTTTAGTATTCTATTAGTTAATTAATTGGGATGGATATATTAAAATATTAAAAATTAAATAATAAAATATCAATTCTTGAGTATCAATGCAATTTTAAATATTGTGATATTATACTGTATGATTTTTTTTCTCCCAACCCAATCAAGCTAATCGAGCTAGTTTTGAGTAGCTATAACAACATTGTCCAGCTTGGTAGTGCATTTTAATCTGGAATCCAATGTTATGTAGAGAATCTAGACAAAAGATCACTACAATTACTTTTAAATCATTTTTGCCAATGTTCTCTAAAGCTTTTCCAACCTCACAACAGTTGCTACAAAAAGGGTGGTGCTTGTGGTATTATCAGGCTGCTCTACGACCTATAAAAGGATTTCTGTAACTTTCCATACCTCAAACAATTTAAGTTCTAATCCACTTCTAGAACTTGACGAGTGTGTGTGTGTGTGTGTGTGTGTGTGTTTGAGTCACCTGTGTGTTCTGGATCTGGATGGTCCCCTGTGGTAGAGTCTGGGTTAACACCTGCCCCTGAGAGGTCACCATAGCAACCGGCTGATACAGGGTCCCACCTGCGGGAACCATTCATACACATACACATACACACACACGTAAAACACAGCAGATTGGTAAACAGCACCATCTTTAAGAGCTACAGTTCACCATGCTAATGTCTTACACTCATATCAAACTAAGAGGAACTCTAACAAGCCACTGAACAGAACTGAATTCAGCCAGTGTGGGTTTATTTCACAGGAGTGTATTATATGGGAAAAAACATAGCTATGTAGAATACAGCACATTACATAGTAGGCAGTCTTTCTAAAGAATCATCTAAACTATTGAAATAGGTCCCATATTATTTAAAAAACTTTCAAATTTTATTTTATTTTTTAAATAAAAGAGTTTGGTGCAGCATGTAAACACTGGTTCATTCTCCAGCCCATATAATTCTCGTTCCCCAGTCTCATACAAAATGTCTCATCTTGAATTCGGCTTTTTTGTCACAAAAATCACGCTGAAGTTATAAGGACAGATGAGGCACAATAAATGACAGCCAATTAGAACTATGATCATTTACATATATTAGTCTTGAAGGGGAATTCCACAGATTTTTCTACATTTCTGCATAACTTAATGACAAACAAAGTCATCCAAACTGGTCTGAGGTGACAGTGGTAAATATATTTTATTTAATATCCTTAAAATGATCAGTGAACCTACACATGTCTTCTGAATATTTAGATATAATCCGGATAAAAGTATAATCATAATTAATATTTTCTTACTACACTATTTTGCTTTACACAACCCTACACGTACCTCTCCACAAAAAATGTATTAAAAAAAAAAAAAGATTTTAGGCCAAAACCTTCTCTTAGACCTATCATAAAACAAATGATCAGGCATCATGCAATGTATTCATAACCATTTCATATAATAGCTTTCTGTAATGAAGCTTTTAGACAAATTAAACTCTTTAGATGTCTGTTTTCTATCACGACCACTGTGACAAATTCTCTGAAAGTTTCTCCAGAACTGGGCATTTCAAATCAACCCACCCTGAATGACTTTGTTTATATCATAACAATCAACTTTTTCCATCACTGGAATTCTTTTTTATAGACACAATAACTAAAACAGCCTGTTTATTTCTAAGGGTTCAAGAGAAGTTGGAAAATGGTCATGTAAAAATGAATTATGACCATTTTTGGTACAGAAAAAAATTAAGTACAAGAAAAATGTAGGATATGGCTCCATAAACAAACACTGGAAAAGCTTTTGTTAAGCAGTAAGTAGCAATTACTATGAAGTTATGAGGAACTGAAGTGGGGACCCCCAGGTCCATCCCTCTATCTCTCTCTGAGCAGATACATCCCTAAGCTGTCTTACCTGACACCACCTGTGAGTTAATGGTAGTCATGGTGACGTTGCTCTGAGGCAGAGAGCCGGCAGGGACCACGATGCCTGAGGGATTAACCGAGCTGGACACGTTAGCGAGTGAGGGAGAGGAGTTCTGCAGGAGATCCTGGAGAGAAGGGAAGGGAAGGGAAGGGAAGGGAAGGGAAGAGAAGAGAAGAGAAGAGAAGAGAAGAGAAGAGAAGAGAAGAGAAGAGAGTTGAAGCCATGTCCATAAATGACCTGTTTGTCTTACACACTGAATGAACACACTACACTTCTTTGTCTCTACCTGCGGTAAGTTTGTGTGTGTTGGCGAATACGGCCCACCCAGGTCATTGCGTAGCAGATTGTCACTGTGCATCTTCGTCTTCAGACAGGTAATGTAGCGGTTGCAGAAGTCTTTACAGAGCTCATTCACCTTCTCCAGCTCCAGCAGGTGGATCCGCAACACCTGAATCGCCTTCACCATCTGACACACATACACAAGAAACGGTCAAGAGAACAGCTGTGCACGAGACACATTTTATTAAAAGTAGAGTTTCCTAAATGTTTCTTCACTTGAACCTATGTTTCTAAGAAATACTTTAACCCTAATGAACTGAGTGTCTCCTCAGCAATCCGATCTGAGAAATATGTCGATAGCCAACTGACAACTTTACAGGAGAAGGAAAATACCTTTACTTTTAATGTAAGTCAATGGAACCAGACGTTTTTTCCACGTCATTTTGGGTCATTTCTTTTAGTCCATTCATCATGAAATTTACATACAATGTAAAGGGCAGCAGGTATTTTCAAATTATGTCAAAAACTGAAAAACGACAAAAATGGAGATACAAGGTTTTCTTTTGGCAGCAGCGCTATGTATGTCCACGTTGGTCAGAGTAAAATGCATCAATGGCTATCGCGTTTCCTATCACTGCATAAAAGATGAAAAGGCTTCTTTTATTGTTGGATGTACTTTGATTTTTTTGAGCACTTCAAAGCATAATACTCAATCAATTCTTATTACTGTTTTGAGTAATGATAAAACGTGACATGTTCCTATTCATGCATTTTCTTGCTCAATAAGATCATTAGTGAGAAAAAATGAAACATCTATGAATTTTTGGATTTGTTACACCATGTTCTTTACATTTCAAATAAAAGGAACAATGACAACACGGAAAAATCAAATGATTAAAGGGAGGAGCAGATTAAATGACAGAAATAGCCATGTTTTTGCACTGGGCTTAAACAGCTACTTGATGTAGAAACTTTACTATTATGTAGACCAGGGGTGCACAACTCCAGTCCTGGAGGCCACGGTAGCACAGTTTGGTAGCTTCCTTACACAAACATACCTATTAAAACCTTCCAATCAATGGATAAGTATAGTCAGGTGTGTCTGAGCAGGTAAATCACCGAACTCTGCTGGACCTGGACAGGAGCTGTGCACCCCCAATGTAGACGTTACATTATATTACATTATGCATATGTTCTTTACATTTTTACAAAGGTTCTTCATAGAGTGGACAGAATCCCAAAGATGTAAAGTGGAGCTGAGGTCAGGGCTCTGTGCAGGCCATCAGAGTTCCTCCACACCAAGCTCATCAAATCATGTCTGGACTTTGCTTTATGCGCAGTGGCACAGTCATGCTGAAACAGGAAAGGGTCTTCCCTGAACTTCTGCCACAAAGTTGAAAGTATATATTTGTCTGAAATGTCTTTGTAAGCTTTAGCATTAAGATTACCCTTCAATGGAACTAGGGGGCTGAGCCCAAACTCTGAAAAACAGTCCCAGACCAGTATCCCTCCTCCACCAAACTTTAACACTGGCACTAGTGTTCTACCAGCATCCACCAAAAGTGAAGATTCCTCAGTCCAGAGAACATATTTCCACTGTCTTGTGTTGGCATTCTTTACACCACTCCAGCTGCTGCTTGGCATTGCACCTAGTAATCTTAGGCTTGTGTGCAGCTCCTCAGCCAATGAAACCCATTTAATGAAGCTCCTGACACACAGTTCTTGTGCTGATGCTGCTTCTAGAGGCAGTTTCGAACTCTGTATAGAGCGATGGCCTACAACTTTGTGGCTGAGCTGTTGTCCTAGTTGCTTCCATTTCACGATAATAACAATTACAGTTGATTGAGGCAGATCTAGCAAGGCAGAAACTTCAGTAAATTACTTGTGGCAAAGGTCACTGAGCTCGTCAGTGTGACCCATTCTACTGCCAATGTTTGTCTATGGAGACTCGATGGCTGTGTTTGATTTTTACACCTGTTAGCAATGAGTGTGGCTGAAACAGCTGAATTCAAACCAATATAGTGTAGACAGATAAACTCCAGCAACACTGCAAGGTGCACCTATATGGTGAGTGGACCTGATAAAATGGACAACAAGTGTAGATACAAGGTAAGTGTATCTAATAAAATAGCCAGTGTGTGTACAGGAGAAGCTATAAATATTTACTGAGATTAGAAGAAAAATAAAGAAACTTATGGGCTCACAAATGCGTGCTCCAATATTTACATATAGAATTTAACCTTGTAAATAGCCAGGACCCGCCACTGGGCCCAAAGTTTTATTACACACCTCTAAACCTAAGAATAGCTCAGCCAGTTTGCACTGATGTCCCTGTAGTCACTGAATAATTAGCCTTAGTAAGTGAGATTTTAATGGGTTAATAATGTGTAGGTGGATATTGTGCATGTTTGCAACATTTCAGACGAGATAATGAGCAAAATATCAATGAGAGACATACGAGAATGATTGCAGACAACTATTAACCAATAAAATGCCCATGCAATACAGATGACAACTGTCTATCTAGCAAGTGTGCTGAGAGTAATTCCACTCAGATATTTGAACAAAAGAACATAACGCAGAAGTAAAACTGATTATGAGTTCCAAGTGCATAAGAAATCAGATACCTTGTTCTTGTACAGGCATTTCTGCACCCAAAAAAGTATCTGTTGAGACTATCACAGCTCTTTTTCTTCTGGTCGTGGCTAAACTTGCGTGGCTAACTCCCCCATTTCCACAGATCACGTGCCTTCAAAGTCAGCACTCAAGGACGAGCGAATGGGCTAAAAAGTGCTTTGCCAAGGAGGAGATAAATCTGCCAATTACTGCGGCTCGTTTCGTCGGGGCACCGTGCCATCCCTCGCCCGGCACCGCAGCGGCACGGCCGCCGTAACCGCGCCAATGAAGGGGGGCCCTGCGCCACTGGTCCATCGTAAAGCACACAGATGCAGAGTTAATTGACTGAGCCGCAGTAGTCGGCCGAGAGACCTGGTAATGATGAACATTGACCTTTCCCCCCTTTCCTCATTCGCCTAATTTCTAATTACTGCTAGCTGTCAGGCGGGGGTGGGGGGTGGAGGGTCCAGGAGAAAGAGAGAGAGGGAGAGAGAGGGAGGGTGAAACAAAGAGAACAAGGGCTAAAGGAATGCGACAGTTCTTTGGTTTAAAATTCTTAGCCCTTTAAACCTGAAGCTTCTTATTTAGTTACTAGTCTTATGACATATTCAGGTACTATTATAAATAATTCGGTAGCTCCTCTAAACTAGTTTGTAAGTGGAACTGTGGAGCCAAATACAAGCTTTTGCAGTTTAAGGGGTTAAAACTCCCATGCAAATATCTATCCAGTGATACAAAGTATTGTGATTGCCTCTACCAGCAGGGGGTGCTATAGTTGTGTAGTGCAGAGTGGATGGGGCATGTTGCACAGCTCGGTAAACTTCAATGTGGACAGAGAGACAATATCACTCGTTAAAGCCTTGCATCTCCAAAATGGTAACTTTGTAAGAGAAAACAGAGAATAAAAAACTTAACCAAACCTGTGTTAACATAGCTAAAAGATATGATAAGTGTACTTTTTAAAAATGTCCATTGTCCATTAAAGTGTTCACACAACGTAAAGTGCTGCTGCCATTTCGATGTTATAAAATAAAAAGTGGAATTATGAGGGTATTTTTTAAATAATACTACTACTATACTGCAATAAATAATATTTTGTGAAGTGAAATGATCTTAAATCTAGTCTATCTGTCTAATATTTCCCATTTTGAGAGGGCTGTGCACTTATAATAAGATTATCTATCTTATTTCTAGACATTTTTACTTATTTTAGGTCATTTTATCAAGTAAAATTATCTCACTATACTGGCAGATAATTTAGCTGGTTTCAAGCACGTTTCTTAAAACAAGCAAAATTATCTGCCAATATAGTGAGAAAATTTTACTTAAGAAAAGCACTTAAAACAAGTATAAAATGTCTAGAAATAAGTTAAATAATCTTAAATCAATCTTACAATAATCTTAACAGAAGACTGCTGTGCACTGCTGTTGCTGCTACTAATAATAATAATAATGATAATAATAAGCCTTAATTTATATAGCAATATTCACTGTACTAACAAAATCTTGAAGCAGTATAAGTTAAACTTTGAAAAGATAAAACACTACGCTCTATATAAAATAATAACACAATCACGAACGGGAGAAATCAGGACACAATACGTCCAGGCATAGCCTAAACAAATATGTTTTTAATCTAGTTTAATCTTTGTTTTTAATCAAAAATTGATATTCCAGAGTTTAGGAGCTGTACAAGAACAAGAGCTTCCACCAACTGAGGTGTAAGAGACCTTAAGAGTTTGCAGTAAACCTGCCTCAGCTGAGCGAAGTGGACTAGGTGGGATATGTTTCAAAAGTTCAGTAAGGATTGCCAGAGTTTGGCCATTAGGGGCTTTAAATGTTGTAAGCAAGACCTTGAGGCATAGGCATGTTTAGCCCCTTACAGTGTAACTAGACAGTTACAGTGTGACTGTGTGGTGTTTTGGCTCCAGTAAGTAGTGCAGACGAGGTTTTCTTATCACTCAGCACCAACACATTACAGTCATTAGCAGTATTCCTCATTTTTGTTGCACTGAATCTCAGATCCCTCTTTATGTTGTTCTTGTTGGCTATCTGATGTTTTTTTATCTAGCAAGCTAACATTGCATGTTGTCAATCAATGACCGTCCACTGTTTGAATTCGAGAGGGAGAAGTGAGCTGTTGTGCCATTGGTAGGCCTATAAGTTGATATTAAAGCCAGGGTGCTACACTTGTACTGCCTGTATGCATATCAGCTAATTGATGTTATAGAATGATAGAAGATATGATGACACAGGGTGGGGGCTTGGCTGGTCTCATTTAGCACCCCTAAAGCTCTGATCTGAGAATCACCCCTGCCTTGAGCTAAATGTGAAACTTAACAGGAAGCCAGTTTAAACTGAATAGGACTGAAGGGGAAGGTTTTTTCCTGCTAAAGGATATTCTGCTGTATTCTGAACTAGCTGGAGCCTATTTAGAGAGATTTACAGAGACAACAGGACAGCTATTAATATGTTACAGTAATTTAACTAGCTATGACATCATGAAGAGTAGCGACTGCTCCCAAACTCTTGAGCTCTCTACCTCAGTCTCTTCGTGACTGCTCTACTTCCTCTTCTTTTAAAGTTCAACTTTAAAAACTTCTCTCTCTTCACTGCTCACTACTTTTCTTCTCCAAAGTGTTAGGTCCTTTTTTTCTCCTCTTTGTGAAGCGTCCTTGGGTTTGTGCGCTATATAAATTAAACTTATTATTATTACTTTAGAGAAAAATGTGAACTTTTTGGAGACACTGAAAAAAAGGGACGCACTGAATTCACTTGATTTGAATTTGTACATTGCCACATTATTAAGTACATTGCCAAAAGGAAGTACAGTTGTGTTGATGCAATATAGGTCCTGTTTACACCTTGCATCAACAAGCGTTTCTGGTGATTGGATCACATTTGGATTTCACTGGTCTGCATGGAAAGCCAGGTGTAAACACACCAGGAATAAATGTGATCGCATTATGATCAGTCAGTTAGATCAATCGTAGTACATTCGGAGGTGGACAGGGACAGATCATGACCACATTTAACAAGTTAAGTGTAAACAGAAGCATTTTTATAGTCTGCATACAATTACATGAGCGGAGTTGAGTTCTGACTAGCAGGTAAGAGAATAAACAATGATATGAAAATTGGAGGAGACATGAGGCAAAAAACCAATAGCCTTCTGGGGAAAAAAGCAAACAAAACCAAAACGGAAATGATGCATGTGTTGATGCGCTTTTCATTTCGGGAAAGTAAAATCGGACCTCATTTGGCCTCACTGGGGACATTTTTAGTGAAAAGTATAAATGGAATCTGTAGCATATCCAGATATGATCCTTGGGGTAACATACATTAATGCAAGGTGTAATCTTCTGTGTACACATCAGTAAAATCAATCACTTTAATCTGTGCTTAGAGATGTGAAGAGTATCTTGATTTTTCTGTACTGACCAGGTTGTCCAGTTCAGGGTCCTCGCTGAAGAAAGGCTTGTGGTCCTGCTCCTGCTGGTGCACAAAGTTTTCGATGTCCACGTCAAAGCTGGCCGAGGTGATGCACTCGGAGCCCTGCGTGGCCTGCTCACACTTCTCGAACAGCAGAGCCAGCAGAGGGAACAGGGGGTGCCTGCAGGAGAGCACCAGGGTGGACATTAAGGACATCGTCAGTCATGACAATCATCACAAAAATGCTAAGCTGTTTATAGAGGTCGTATATGTTTTTGAGTAATGACATATGTTCATAACAAGAAAAACTTGTATTCCTTTCTTGGAGAAGGAAAAAAAAACATTCTTAACATTATTTTACATTAATGCGATGAGATTTTATTCCAGTTCATTTTGGACCATTTCTATTGGTCCATCCCTCATGAAGTGTTCACATAATATGAAGGGGCAGCTGTCACTCTAATCTAGTCACAATAAATACAAAAGGTATGCATTTTGATATGGCAGTGACACAATGTGTAGAATTTAAAATCAATTTTGTTGATCTAGATCGTCTTTACTTATTGTATGAAAGCCAAAACTTGATTCTGGTGATATTCAAACAGTATTATCAAGATTAGATCATTTAGACCATATCCTTCATTTTCTTATATTTTATTTTTGCCCTTGAGATCCATTTTGATATTTAAACAGACTGTTTTCGTTATAGTGCCTTTAAGACTGATGTATGTAAATAACCTCTCTTCTGATTCGCTGCTCTGTATTGTGCCTAATTCAAACAGCAGCCAGGACTGAAACACTCCATATATCTTCAGTGTGAGTGGGTGGAGCTAAACTGCTGTAGAATGAATAAGTGGATATACGTAAATGTGTCCGTTTGCAACATCACAAAAAAATGGAGTTCAAAACTAAGATGTTATAGTTTCCATGTAAAGACTGCATGGACTGTGGCATCAGCAATATGTTTTCAAACTTTAACAAAGTTTATATACTACATCAAACTCTTTTATTTAAAAAGAAAGAGAGAGAAATGTGGTTCTCCATAATACAGGCCCTTTGAAGCACCTTTATATCTCCCAGCAAGTGTCAACGCCTTGAGATGTTGGGCCTTTTCTCACTTGAATCTTATTTTGAATCTGACCAGCACTCTTTGTCTCTCTGATCAATGTACAAGTTCTCAAACATTTCTCAGATAATACAGGCAAATCTCAAATGTACACTCTTAAAAATGAAAGTTCCCAAATGATTCTTGCACCTTTTTGTAATTAGATGTATGAAAAGTTTTTCTATGCACAGTAAAATATCAGTCGAACCTTAAAAATTTACTTTATGTGGTAAAAAGCAATTAAACTGGTTTTGCTCCATTTAAATGAAACTTTTTAATGAATCAATGCAAAGAAAACTTTTAAAGTCTTAAAAGTAGAGTAACAAAACCCGGTCCTCAGAGTCCCCCATTTTTGCTTCATCCCTTTGTGTTGTGTTGTGAGTCAGGCTGGAGCAAAAAATGTGGACCATCAGAGCATTAAGCTATGTTCTTCTCATTTCTTGAAATCATAGTAAATAGAAAAGGTCAGTACAGACTCAAACCTGTTGATACAGAATGTAAACTGAACATAATATATAATTATGTGCAAAAGCTTGGGCACCAAATTATGCTTTTCTTGATTTTTTACATGAAAATAAGTAGAATAACACATTCTACAGAGAGCACACTTCTCAACATTTTAATGTATAATTACTGTTTATTTGCTGGGTTTAATATATTGGGAAAAACATATATAAAAAAGGAAAAAATGCAATATGTAAGTGTGTTCTTTGTAGATGATGTGTTAACTTAGTTACTGTGTTTTCACTGAGAACATCAATAAAAAACATAATTTGACCAGGAGTGTCACTTTACAATATGACTGCATATAGTTACATTCAATAATATTTAAAAATGAAAATAGTAACTCCAAGGGTTAAAGCAGAAATCCTCCTCTTTTTTCTATCCTGCAGTAAATTAAGGATCTTGAAGCTGGGTTCATCTGACTCACAGAATTCTTCATCATATAAATTTGTTCCAATATCACTTACAAAACAGCTGTAATGTTGTACAGCAGAAGCTTCAGATTAAGCAGGGAGACATATAACATCATAAAAGCCACTGTGTGTGTATGACAGTGTGTGTACGGTGTGTATGTGCCTGTGTCTGTGTGTTTGTGCTGTGAGCTGAAGGCTATAGAGGCGGTGGGACTGGGTGAGGGGCCTCTGCTCCAGCTGTAACCCACCGCTCTCATTTGCAGCCTTTAATAGCCCGCTATATTAGACTCTAATCTGCCTGATCCCAATTTAATGCGGCTCCCTCCAGTCGACGTGAGGCGAATACTAAACAGGCTCACAGCGGAACACACAGACGATCCTGCGCTCCCTCTGGGCTCGTACGGCTCTCCTCCGCCACGCCGGCCGCCTCCACTACAGCGCACCCTGGAGGCCATGAGCTTACTTATCTCTCCCCCTCCATCCCTTTAGCTCTGGATCATAACCCCGACACAGCCTGCAGCACCACAGCCTGAGGACACTATCAGTTTAACCCCCAGAGGCTTGTTTTAGCAGGCCTGGATGAGGGGAAATGACCCTGAGTTTTATAATTACCATTCAAATAAAGGAATAAATGCCAAACACACAGGACCACCAAAAAATATCTCGTTTGCTGTATTATCATCCTCACTCACACTCGCTGCAGAACAACTAGAAACTGAGCAATGACAAAACTGTGTGGATAAAATAAAGCTAGAAAGGGAGTAACTCTACTATTCTGTTTGAATGTAGCTATGTAATTAATACTTAATTACATAGTTTTTATGTCATTAAGTAGTAATTACTAATTAATTATGTAAAGTACTCTTTAATTATATAGTATTTATGCCGAATTGTGTAATTACACACTAGTTATGTAATGAATTACATGTACATTCAATTTTGATTTGATTTTAATGCTGCATTTCTGACGTTTTTACTTTAAACATTAAAAAATGGACAAAAAGTGGCAAAAAGTACATGACAAAAAGGCTGCATGAACTTTAGAACTTTAGAAAAATAACAATAATCCCCTTTTATACTTAAAACGCAAACGTGGTATTTACTAAAAGTTCATAATGTGCCCAAGGACCAAGGTATGAGTGGGGGCCATTGCTCTTTAAAGTTGTGCAGATCTGTTAACTCTTTTAATATGTGCCAGCCAAATTAAACTCTTAATGCTGTTTATCTCACAACACATGCAACTAATCATCTCAACCTCAATCTTCCAGCCAGACACACACAAATACACACATATTTACACATATAGATACATTCACACATGGGACTGGACTGTCAGTGCAGACATGGAGAGAGAAAGAAAGCATCTGCATGGTTTAGAGACAGTTAACCTGAGAAATTGTAAAAAAAAATAAAACAAAATAAAATAAAAAATCTGATCTGAGATCAGTTTGTGACTTTTTGTAATTATACAGTTAAATGAACAGTGATCAGCTGACCCTAAATCAGAAGTGGTGCTCTGAGGCACGACACATGCTATATGAGCCATGGTATCATATGTTGTAGGAAAAATATTGTTGTTCTATAAACAAGCCTGCAACACTAAAGAAAAACTGACAGAAGCTCCACCTTGGCAATGATGCCAAAGCCCATATATTTTATCCCCTTCTTGTGACGTCAGCACTCATAAGAACAACACTTCAGCTATTTAAACCACTTTTGGGATGAAAAGTATGCTTAAGTACTGAGTGATGTACTTAAAAATACTTGAGTATTTATGTCAGCAATCGAAAGATGACATTTTATGAATTAAATGGCATTGTATAGACATAAGGCCCTTATACTAAAATGATGGACATGTATAACATGGCTATAACACAGCCTTAAAATGATTACAAATGATGTTTAGGAATTAAATTCCATTGTACTGGTATAAGGCCCTTATATTGAAGTGATGGACATTTATAACACTGTTATGACACAGTATTCAAATCATGATAAAAGATGTTCTATTAAGTAAATTCCATTGTATTGATATAAGCTCTTATACTAAAGTGATATATATATATTTATAACATTGTTATAACAGTATTCAAATGATGACTTTTTTATAACTGCCATTGGACTGACACAAGGCCCTTATACTAAAGTGATTTTAACACTGTTATAACACAGCACTCTAACAATGACAAAAGCTGTTTTATGAAGTGAATTCCATTGAATTGACATAAGGCCCTTCTACTAAAAAGATGGATATTTATAACACTATTACAACAGTATTAAAACTGTAACAAAAGATGTTTTATTAGGTAAATGCCACTGTACTGTCATAAGGTCCTTGCACTAAAGTGATGGACATTTATAACACTATTATAACAGTATTAAAACAATAACAAAAGATGTTTTATGAAGTAAATGCCACTGTACTGTCATGAGGTCCTTGCACTAAAGTGATGGGCATTTATAACACTGTTATAACACAGTATTAAAACAATGACATAAGATGTTAAAATAAATGGCATTGTATTGACATATGATCCATATACTAAAGTGGAACATTTATAACACATTTGAAGTATCATTCCCAAGTAATACATTTATAAGACAGACATAAGAACAATGCATATTAGTTCTAGATTTTAATGCCTCATTTTTTACACATATCTCACACCTCGGAAATACTGACATTTGTTGTACCTAAATACTCAAATATCACTTTGTACATATAGTGTTCTATATTTCTGCTTGTGCTATAAGGTCCCTGTGTTGGTAACCTTTGAATAAAGTGTGATCAGATGTGTTTTTCGCAATATTTTGGAGAATAAAATGATCAAGACAAATTTTTAATAGGCAGTGTAAACATCTGACTCCTGAAACTAATCATTTTCTGCTCAAAGCGCTGAATACTTGTCTGAGACTGTTCACTGTCTTACAGAAGCATGTTTAATAAGCTGACTGTATTATACTTCATGCTGACTGTGGTGCACGGGTTCAAATAAAAACAGATGCTGCAGCCATAACCCTGTAGTGGGAGTGTGAGGTGTTGGAGCTCCTGGTAAAGAGCCAGAAACAGGCCCTATCTGCAGTGCAGAGGGGGCTGGAAATCCACAAGCGCCTTGGGGGCCATTACCACGCCCGTAAAAAGTGCCATTTACAGAGGCA